ACTAAACCAAAATGTGACATTTTTTCAACTGCATACGTTATTTATTAAAGAATAGAGACTGGTGGGAAGAATTAAAAAATTTAATTTAGGGGTCTTGACTTAATATAGGGATATACACTTTCATTCTTAGATTTCTTAATGTTAAGCTAAAGAAAAAGCTAGGCATATCTAAAGTTGGTAATATGCTGCAGCTTTTGTTGGTTATAATTTTCTTCATATTTTCTGCTTACCAATGATATAATACTAGATTGATTTTTGCTCGATTTGCCTTTGCCACCACCTCTTCTTCCTCCACTTTCTCCTCCTTTTTTCCCTTTTTCTTATCTCTATTAAGAACCTTTTCTTTGCCTGGAAATGGCAGCAATTGTCTTTAATCTCTCCTCTCAGGAGGCAGAGGCAAGCAGATCTCTGCTTTCAAGGCCAGCCTGGTCTACACAGAGAGCTCCGGGCCAATAAGGACAAGAGTGAAACTCTTGTCTCTAAGGGGGCCAAAATATTTTAAAGAAAAAAAGAAACTTATCTTTGGACTTGGGTTTGAAGGCTTCTTTTCTTCTGTTATATGTTCATATACTCTGAAGCAGACATTGCTTTTAATTATATGCCTGTTAACTTTTTACCTGTTTAATTTACTTACACTATCTTTTGCCCTTTTCAATTGTAATTGTGTAAAATACACTTCACACTAATGTTCTCTTTCTATTTTACTTTGTCCATTCACTAAAAATTATTTATTTATTGGATCATAAATACAGCACCACAGTACAAGGCTCAAAGGAGCATAGCGCTAGGTTTTTCACAGCAACAACTCACTCTATGGTACCAACTTCTGTATCAGTTGCTTTTAGTTTCTGTACCAAAACACCATGACCAAAAGCAAATTAAGAGAATGTTTATTTGCACTTATAGTTCTAGAGGGATGAATGTCCATAAAGGATGAAGCCACGGAGACAGGAGCAGGAAGCTGAGAGATCACATTTTAACCACACACAGGAAACACAGACCACAAGAAGTAGGGCACAGCTATACACTCTCAAAGCTCACCCTCCCCAAGTGATGTCCTTCTTCCATCAAAGTTCTACTACTTAAAGGTTCCATAACCTCCCCCAACATCACCACCAATAGGGGACCATGAACCAATGGGGCGACATTCTCATTCCAGCTTCAACAAGTGAAACTTTTATATTTGATCAGAATATCTGCCTGCACATGTAAATGTGTTTAATATCATTTTACTTTTTCTGGGACATAACAATCAAACCAGAGTTGTTGGCATTTAGTTACTGTAATTGTCATGTTGTCATCCTTAATGTACTAAGTGGTTATTAAATATGTTTTCTCATCTTTAATATGCAAGCTACAGTTAGGCCATTAGTGTATGGATTCTTCTTTAGAATAATCATTTCTGAAGTTATATTTCCTACTTAGATTCTAAAACTGTTTCTGTTCTTTCTTAATAAATACTATCAGAGTCAGGCATGGTGACACAAGCCTTCAATGCCTGTACTCAGGAACCAGGGGCAAGTGAATGTCTATGAGTTTGAGACCAACACGGTCCACATAGTGAGTTCTAGGCCAGCTAAGGATGCATGGTAAAACCCTGTCTAAAAAATAAAAATCAGACATGTTAGGGAAGATTGTTTTGTAATATAGTCACAGAAGAGGGGAAAGAAAGACTGTAAGAGCCAGAGGAACGAGATGTTTGCTGTGAAGTTATACCTCCTGGAAATAGCAGGGAAGCTGCACCCGTGAAGTCTCATCAACACGACTCCCTAAACAAGACCTGAACAAGGGTGACATCAACAGACATGCCAACATGGAAGGGGGAAATCTCAACAGGGCCCCAACCCTAGACAAAGGACTAGACGCAACTAAAAAATATTGAAAAGAGAGAAATAGTCTTCCTCGGGGAAAAACTTCTCCCTAACTGATTATCTAGGACCAGTCGTCAGCCCTGCCTGAAATTATCCATACAAGTAACATTATATTGGGTGGGTAGTATCAATATATTTAGGAATGTATCTATATATCCCTATATAAATATGTATACACATATATTTGGGAGTGTGTGTACTGTGTATGTGTGTATAACAACAATTAAAGAAATTAAGAAAAAAGAAACCAGAGGCCATGAATTTGAAAGAGATCAAGGTAAGGTCCATGGGAGGAATTGGAGGGAAAAAATAAAAAATGATATATGTTAATTTCAAACAATAAAATAAAATTGTGTAAAGAAAGCAAACATGATTAAAAATAAGAATAATATTACAAAGCTTCATTGAGACATACTGATTACCTACATCCTAGGGAAGCTGTCTAAAACCTATCCCAGGTGCTTAGGTGAATGGCCAGATAACCACCATGTTTAAGGGAGACGTAAGAGAAAAATATCACACAAAGCAAAGTTCAATTGGTTCCTTCCAAACAACAAGTTGGGGTTCTAGACCATTCAGGACTTTTATAAATGCCAAAGGTAAAGATCCAGTCTGTAGCCATGCAGTCTCACAGGCAAGGCCGGCACAGGAGTATTTTTTTAAGCCAGTTCAATAAGGATAAACCCGAGCACATTGGATTCTGAGGTTTCTTTATGAGCATTGGTGAGTTGGGAAATTATCTTTTCAACCACAAAGTGTACCCATGAAAACTGGCAGGAGGTGACAATTCACCCCTGGTAAAGTCTGTCTGGTGAAACAATCCCTCCCAGACAGCCAGTGCACAATGAATGCCGTGGAAAATTATGACAAACCCAAAATCCACAGTCCAATGCCAGCTCTAGAGAGAAAAATTCAACCCACGTTTGTAGGATTTTTAGTATTTTTATGTCTGGGCAGTAGAAGACAACTAGAATGGGCACAGATGCACTGGTGTTTATGTAAGAGGTGCACATTTCTCTGACGGCTCCACCCAGTGCCCATGACACAGAACGTTTAGCAAATTTTTAGGATACAGTTATTCCTATTGGTTGTCTCTGCCCCTAGGAACCAAGCAAGCACCTAAGCCGTCAAGTACTGGGTACTGGGAGAAATATGTCAGTGGACTCACATGCCACCGAAAAACCAGGTAAGGAGTGATGTGGCCCCTCCGGCCCCTCAGCACTGATGGTAGATGATGAACAACACCTGCATGGCTCTGTGTGCGAGAATCAAATTGGCAGAAGATGCAAGCTGCTAGAGAAACATTCCAAGAGACCATCTTTGGGAAAAGAAAGTGCAAATTCAATTCTTTAAAAACCCTTTGGGGGATACTAATTTAGTGATTGTTTCCTGTTTTATCCTGAAGAATCACCATGGACAAGTGGTACAGACCACTGGGTTTCAGATTTTTTTTCAAGTTTTTCTCTTAAGCGATTTCTTTATATTTTGGCTTGAAATGATGTTCATTCCTATTTTAAGAGTATATTTTATGTAATAGCCATATGAAGATCATGCTCCAGTCTCTCTGTTGTTTAAAGGGTTGCCATGAGATCTGCCCTCACGCATTAGTGTTTATATTGCCATCCTCACCCGAGTAAGCTCATGGGCAGGCTTCCTCCCCATCTCCTATCTTTCTCTAGCTCTTTTTTCTTTGTCTCTCCTCCTGGTAGCCTTGAAAATACTTAAAACAAAAAGTATTTTTCTGGGTAGAGAATTCTTCTTGGTTATTTTTAAATCAACATAATACTACAAAGAAAGAAACACATTTTTTTTCAACTGTAACAGGGCGAAAGTTTGAGCTAAGATGAGCTGCTTCAGACATGTTTAGCTTTTCCAAACACCCTGCAAAGTCAACTCCATTACACAAACTATAAAAGGCATGCTACTTTCCTTCCTTTGCCAAATAGGCAGACAAGGTATAAAATGTACAGTTTCTTGGGATAGCAGCCCTGTAGCAAAAGTTGTGGTGGGAGAGCAAAGTGATTGGTAAAACTGATTCCTAGTCTGCTTTAAAGTACTTTAAACTCTAAGTAATGGCTAGCTCTGCACCCACTCCTCTCTAATCATGATGTATGAAGACTCAAAAGTCTTCAGTGGACACAAATTTGTCACCATCAGAAACAGACCCTTGTTTATTTTGTTGTAGTGTGATACTGGAGCTTCCTATGTGGCTGGCATCCAACTCCACATAGCGCCACTGATCAGGAAGGGGTTTTGGCCCCTTCACCTTCAAGCTGGGCTTGAGGTTTTACAGGTAGAGACAGCATTTATTCTATGTTATAAATACTGCTAGGGTGGCGGTGACATTCCAGGGCAGTAAAGAGACACTTGCTAGGAAGTTAGAGAAACAGACAACAACGCGAAACAACAACAACATTCCTCATTAAACCCTGCTTGTAACTGCAAACTCATTTGCTTTGCCCATTTCATTCATTGTTTGGAGACAGGATTTCACGCTGCACTCCATGCTGACCTCCAATCACCTGTACTGCCCAGGTTGACCTTGAACTCAATAATAATCCTGCCTCAGCCTTCACAAAAGGCGGTACCTTAGTTTTGCTCCTAAAATTTTGCACCAGTTTTGACCTCTCAGACCAATAGGGTAAAAAACAATATTTAGCGTATTTAGTAATTTTCTTCATGAACTTTCGAGTATTAACCAAAAACTTTGCCAACAAATCTTAGAACAAAGTAAGTGCCTCAGCACGCGAGGGGAGTCTAAGGAGGTGCCAGACGTAGTGGCCCGGCCCACGTCTCTCAGAATTGGCGGGAGGCTGCGCGGGCTCCGCCCCTGTCAGGCGGTGGCTCACACTTGGGCGGGGCTGTCCGAGGCGGTGGAGAGGGTGGAGCGAGGCGAGGAAGCGCACCCCCCCGTCTCAGGATTGGCCAAGGCTAGGCGAGCTCCGCCTCCGTCGGGCGTTGGCTCGAACTTGGGCGGGAGTGTCCGGGGAGGTGGGCGGGAGAGAGGCGGAGCGGCCCGCGCGTTCTCCCGCCCATACTCGTCAGGATTGGTTGAAGCTCAGCGGGCCCCGCCCCCTCGGGCGGAGCTGGGGCTGCAGTCGGGAGGCGCGTGGGGCGGGCGGGGCAGTCTGTGGTTGCTGTGCCTGTGGCTGGGTCTGTTCGCTGGACGCCGGCCAGGGATGCTTCCGCCAGACCGCTGTGCCGGTCTTGGGCTGTGGAGGAGGGATGGCGAATGTGCAGGTGGCCGTGAGGGTCCGGCCTCTCAGCAAGCGGTAAGTCTGGCAGGAGGGGGCGCTTGAGGCGTCAAGTGAACTGAGAGGAGAGCGAGATACCCAGAGAAAAGTCAGACTCACAGTGCCCCGAGGGCTCAGGGTCCAGAAGCCATGAAGGCTGGGAGGGACAGGGCTTCAAGTCGAGCTTTCCCGTCGCGTCCTAGGAGATAGCGGTTCCTGCGTGCCTCCAGAAGTTGCTGCCCTTTCTACATGTCCCTGGCATCTTGCCAACAAGAGTTTCTAGGGACCCTGGCTCGGGTCTTGGTTCACTTAGTAGGGTCTTTCTCATGCATCGTGACGTGAGGAGGTGCAAAGAGGTGGGCAGTCTCCACTCCTCATGGTGACCCGGGAGGACCTGAGAGGACTGGAGAGTGTGTTCATATATACATATACATATATACATGGGATTCCTTTGTGGGGACTTAGGACAAAGAATTGTCGAGATATGGGAGGGGAATTGAGGCCCAGAGAGACTGTGATTTCAATCTGTGCTCAACAGCTGACGTGATTTAAGAACAGAACTGCCACATGGGAAGGGGAAGTCGCTCCTCAGTGCTAGTTCCTTGTGCATGGGCCTCATTCCGCACCTCTCAGCCCTTGAGGCTACCAGTGTGGAACTGCATATTTCATTCTCTCCCACTCGGGAAGTCAGAGAAAGCTTTGCACAAGGGTTGATGTCTGAACTGTTCTGAAAGATCTTTGAGTTTTCTGACAGGTAGGGGAAAGTGCAGAGCTCTCTAAAGAACAGAAAGAGGAAGTAAATTTAGGCTGTTAGGGTGTAGATGGGAGCCTTGGACACGTGCATGGATAGAAGCAGGGAGTGATGGGCGAGAAGATTGGCAGAGTGTGGATCTATACCAGATGACATGTCTTGGGATTTATTGTAGAAAAAAATCTTCAATGTCCAGTACACAGAGGTCAAGAAACACTTTGTCTCCTATGACAGAAATAGTACCATGGGGTGTTAGTTTTGTCCTTGTAGAGGCCATTTGCTTCGAAAAGTTTTGACAAAATGAGAACCATGAGATAGGAGGAACACATAAGAAGATGTACCTATGCCAGCGTTGTTGACAAATGCCTTTAATCCCAGCACTCAGGAGGCAGAGGCAGGTGGATCTCTGTGTGTTCAAGACCAGCCTGGTCTGCTGTGTAAGTTTCAGGACAGCCAGTTGGTTTTTAAACATCTGGCTTTGCGTAACTACATACGATGACTCAGGGTTGGAGGCTTCCTGGGAGCAGCTATCCAGGAGGAGGTTACTGCTGGTAGATCTCATTCTTTCCAAACTGTTTTTTAGGGTTCTTAGGATAGCAGTATTGACCACTCTTAACTTTTTAGTTCATCAGAAACCAAGGGTTTCAAATAGCATGGATTAGATTAAGAAAAGGATGTTGAAACCCCTTTGTTACTTGCAGTCGTTGCCGAGAATACCATATCTCATCCAACAAAAATGAAAAACAGTCAGGACACTTAATTACTTTCAGCTCCAGTGAAGAGGCTTGAGAGTAAGTGGTAGATTACATCGTCAAGGCTGCTGGAGCTCCAGGTGTGAGCTGATTTTTAACAGGCTGCAGATTCACAGTCACTGAATCAGGAGTAGTTATGTAGAAACTCAATGTGATCTCAGCTAAGACGTTTAGACCAGACCATTCTTCAGTTCCCACACTGCAGAGATGGTAGTGGTACCCACTGTTCATTGACGCTGTTTTGCAAATGGAGAATCTGCTGACTATGTCATCTGTCTCAACTTTCAGATAAGTCATCAGCACTGACTGACACTGTGCTTGAGAAAGAACCATTAAAGTTATCTAGCCCAAGCTTCCATTATTTTTCTCCAAATGAGAACATGGTCTAGAAGCAGGATTTGATTCACTAACCACACTGCTCCTTCCCAAGATGCTCAAAATTGCTCCTGTGCTCTATAGGGCTAGAGAAAACACTGGATGAAATAACAGCATGGAAGTGATTTTGGATCTTCCTTTTGACCTCAGTTGTTTCCCATAATCAGAAATTCTGTTTGTCGGCTAGAGAAGCTTCCCTTGTCTATCCAGAGTCATTCGCCACTGAAGAACACGCCTTCCCCACTGTGCTCTGCCCCACTGCCCTGTACTTTCACCTGGTACCTTAGTTTGTTCCACTCTTTTTTTTTTTTGATCTATAAAATAGACTAAAATGATAATCACGTCAATCTTCTTCTTCTTCTTCTTCTTCTTCTTCTTCTTCTTCTTCTTCTTCTTCTTCTTCTTCTTCTTCTCTCTCTCTCTCTCTCTCTCTCTCTCTCTCTCTCTCTCTCTCTTTTATTTATTTATTTTCCCCCCACTGAGACAGGGTTTCTCTCTGTATCCCTGGCTGTCCTGGAACTCCCTTTGTAGACCAGGATGGTGGCAAACTCACAAAAATCTGCCTACCTCTGCCTCCTGAGTGCTGGGGTTAAAAGTGTATCCCACCACCACCTGTCTCCATGTCATAACATGTAATAGATGTATGAAATAATGGACTTCATGATGACATTTTCACATATGTAGATTATGAACTTTGATTCTATCACTTACCTGTTAACCATTTCATGTCTAATCAGGTGTTAGTCATATTATTTTTAGTGATTGTTTTTATTCTTCTGGCCTCTTTTCTATTTCTTTCTTTTTTGAGTTTTAAAAAAGGAATAAGTAACAAATGTATAGCTTGGTTAAAGTCTCCTCTAGAACAGTGGTTTTCAAATTACAGCACACACAAAATCCCTGCCCCCCCCCCAGAAGCTGGTTATCATCTGCTCTATTCCTCTAAACATTTAAATTAACTCAGCCTTCTTGTATCATTCTTAATTCTGATGTAGGCAGCCTGTAGACTTACTTCTATTCAAAATCTTTGACGCTAAAGAATGGATTCTGGCAACTAGTCATAGTGGTGACTGCTTTGCCTTGCTTAGGGCTTTTCCTTAGTAGGACTGATTTGAACCATTTGAAGCTAGCTTCTTTTCGTTGTTGTTATTGGTTTTGGTTTTGGTTTGTTTTTCTGAGACAGGGTTTCGCTGGTAGCCTTGGTTGTCCTGTAATGCTTTCTGTAGACCAGGTTGGCCTTGAACTCAGAGATCTACCTGCCTCTGCCTCCTGAGTGCTGGGATTAAAGGCCTGCGCCACCAGTGCCCAGCTGAAGCCAGCTTCTTCCTTGAGATTGATGTCCTTTCTGCCCTTTTAAAATTTAATGCCAACATTTCTGTAGGTGAGCAGAGGAAGGTGGGACAATTTTACCTTTTTGTGGGCTGATGATCCTGGGAGTTGGGAACATCTATATCTGACTTGGGAGGTGTGACTGGGTGATAAAGCACTTGCCTAGATGTATGAGACAATGGGTTTGATTCCCTCCACCACAAAAGAATACCTCTCTCTCATGTATGGCTTTAAGGGGAAAGAAACAACACAAACAGCCAGGCGGTGGTGGTGCACGCCTTTAATCCCAGCACTCAGGAGGCAGAGACAGGTGGATCTCCGTGAGTTTGAGGCCAGCCTGGTTTAACAAGAGCTAGTTCTAGGACTGGCTCCAAAGCAACACAGAGAAGCCCTGTCTCGAAAAACCAACCAACCAACCAACCAACCAACCAACCAAACAAACAAACAAAAACAACAATCTTAAATTTAACAAAAATGCTACTTAGCTAGTTTTTTTGTTTTGTCTTGTTTTTTGTTTTTTCAAGACAGGGTTTCTCTGTATTGCCCTGGCCATCCTGGAACTACCTCTGTAGCCCAGGCTGGCCCTCAGCTCACAGAAATCTACCTACTTCTGCATCCAAAGTGCTGGGAATAAAGTATGTGTCGCCACTACCCAGCTAGAGAGAAGGTTTTAGCTAGAACTTTATTCCAGATAAAGCAGGTGTCTTCAATTGATGAGCCATCTTGTCCTAGCCAAAGGTTTTTGTTATGAAAAGAGTGGGCTTCAGATGCATGGATCACCAGAATAAGCCTATTAAATAAGCCTATTAAAATGAATATCGTTAAGTCCCCAGCACTGCAAGAAAAAAGTTTATAGTGAATGTAAAGATTGGCTAGTTGCTAGCAGAGTTACCACGTAAGGACAGTAGAAGACCTTGGCTTTCTCTGACTTCAGAAGTACACTCAACATTTCAGCAGAGAGGACTGCAGTGTTCTCATCTGTACTTTGTTCAGTGGTCCAGAGACAGTGAGAAATTGTGTCTTGCACTGACCAAAGATATTTTCCAAGCCTTATTTTAAAGGTATAGTTAAAGATCAGACAGATCTGGACTTAAATCTCAGTTACTGGTCCTGGCTGGGTGGCCTTGGATGAGTTACGCAATTTCTCTAGGCTCTAAAATTCTGTCAGAATGATGACGTGCTATGAAGTGGTATCAGAAGAGTAGGGTGGGTAGAGAAATTACAGTATCCATACACAATATGGTGCTTTATACATTATCACCAAAATAAATGGTGGTGACAGTGCTTCTGGAGTCAAAGTGTGCCCTCAAGGGAGTCTTCACAGGCTTTTGGCTATTTATGGAGACAGGCACTGTACTTCTTGGAACAGGGACAGGAGTGAGAAAACTTATTTCTTTTTCTCTTTTTTTTCTTTTGTTTCTGGGGTGTGTGTGTGTTAAGTGGGCACCAGATGTTGTGGCACATGTCTGTAATTCTATCATTTAGGAAGAAGAGACAGGAGGATCAGAAGCTCAGAGTCATTTTTGGCTAGAGAGTGGATTTGAAGCAGCCTGGGCTCCCTAAGATTCTGTCTCAGAAAACAAAACAAAAAGTGTTTCTTCTCATTGGAATTCTGTTCTCATTTCTTAGCGAGACCAAAGAAGGGGGAAGAATTATTGTGGAAGTTGAGGACAAAGTGGCAAAAATCAGGAATTTGAAGGTAAGCCTGAAATTGTGTTTGTTTTCTTAGGTACGAATCTTTATAATTAAAGGGGGCTCTGGGATGAATATGTTTAATATATTAGAGAGCAGGAGATGTAAGGATTGTGGGAAAATCTTAGACCAATCATAAAGTAAATAAACAACAAAAGAATTATGCTTAGAGTCCAGAAAATGTGGCGTTGTAGTCCATGCTGTTAAATAGAATAGTGCAGCTGTTTTGGAAACTGATAGGAGCTGCTTCAAAACCAAATCCAGACTATGTAATCAGGCTATGATTAGTTTAACTTATGTTGGGGGCAATTTGTATGTCTATGTAACTCACCTGGCCACCAGTTAAACTTTATCCTGAGCCCCTCAATTGATAATACTTTATCCAGGTCATTATTAGGAATTTTAGTATTTGTCTGATAGTGCAGGGTTTGTTTTGGCCATAATATGGTCCAGATGTCAGACATCAGCCTGCAGATCTCAGAAGGGAGTTGATCACTAGCCTGAGTCTTGTTCAGATTTCTTTTTCCACAACCCTGCTTAAATTCGGAGCACAACTGGGCAGACACCAGGAACTTCCTTCCCTGCTCCTCACCCTGCGCTCCAGCGTCAACTTCCTCCATCCTTCCTGATGCAGAAGAGGAGCTGGTTCTTCTTTTGTGGACTTTGAGCAGTGGAAAGAAGCCAGGGAGGTGATCACGTGATCGATGCTGTAGTTAGTGTGTGGTGTAAAAGGCCAGCCTTCCCAAGAGCTGAGGAAGCTGAGGCAGAGTGAAGGTGGTCCAAATCCCAGCCCTCAGAGCTCTGCCCTCCCCCTGGTTACTTCCCTGCTGTGACATGTTTCCTCTTGTCATTAGCTCCTGTTAAAGGAGGGGTCCTGAGGAAGTCTAAGCAGGAGTTCATGGAGAACAAAGAGCCTTCCATCCCATGCCTTCTCTCTTACCGCCCTTGCTAGTCACCTCAGCTGTTTTATTGTAAGATCTCTTACTCTTGGGTCTAGAGAATAAAGTATGTCCAAGAGGAAAATTTAAAAGCAAACTTAAAAAATATTATTTTATGTGTGTGGGTGTTGTGCCTTTATATGTGTCTATGCACCACATAGGTACCTGGTGCCCTAGGGGGCCAGAAGAGGGCATCAGATCCCCCAGGCCTGGAGTTACAGATGGTTAAGACCCATCATGTGGGTGCTGGGAATCAAGCCCAGGTCCCCTAGATGGGCTGCCAGTGTTCTTAACGTCCGAGCCATCTCTCAAGCACCCAAGGACAGATTCTAGTTTGCCCTCTAAACACTTCCCTAGCTATTGACTTCCCTAAGGTCAGTTATTTAGGAACAAGCTCTTATTTATTATGACATCCATGTTCTTCTGTAGATTTTGAATGGCGAATGTCAGAGTTACCTTTCCCTTTTCTAACGTTCTTCTTGTCTAAAATGTGTTTGGGGTATATTTTCCTTTAACCTTGATAAGGGCACTCTTATCCTGCTTCCTCCTCAAGGAGCACCCTCCGTAGCCATGCTTTCCCGCTTGGAGGCTGACAGAAGACCGTGGAGCAGCCAGCACACAAAGCTGTGCGTGCCTACCGACTGGTGATTTTGTAGCAGCCTGGCCATTTTATAACAGTGAACTAGGAACTCAGGATGTGCACCAGGTGTCCATTCTTAAATTTCTTCTCTCGGAGAGGATGAAGAAGACTCTGCAAGAGGCATTTTATCATAGGAAGATCATTAACTCCTGAGTGCCACAGTTTAAATTGAAATACCAAGACTAGACTTGTCTGTGAAGAATGCCAGCCATTCTGCCCAGTACCCAGAGCTCAGCATAGTTCCAAGTTTTGGCCCTACCCTGTGTTCAGCAGCTATATTATTCCTGGTTATTCTATTTAATACTATTTCCAAGTCACTGAAGGTAGATTCCTAAAGGATCCCAGTGAAAGCTCCAAGTTGATGAAATCTGCTGCACCCAGAGGCTGTGCTACTCATGCCGTCAGCCTCCTCTATAGAAATACCTAGGGAGGAGATGAGGGATGGAGATGTCCATTAAAAGAGCCTTCTTCTCCTGTGCTGTCCTGTAGTTCATGTGCTTGTGCGCAGACACAGGCTAGGGTCATGGGCATATTTAGTTCCTGGGTCTTTATTTGTTCCTAGTGAGATGGAGATAGATGTTACCTCTCTTCTTTTGTGGCTGTCGTAAACATTATAGTGATAGTCCGAGTCTCTGTAATTATCAGAGAGCATAATTAAGAGCCATTGTCCAGATTCCAATGATGTGACAGGAAAGACACTGAATGCTGTGTTTAATTTTAGGTGAACAGTCGACAAGAGAGGTCTGGAGACACCCGGGAGAAGGTTGTAGCGTTTGGTTTTGATTACTGCTATTGGTCAGTCAACCCAGAGGACCCTCAATATGCGTCTCAGGAAGTGGTAATGTCATTTTCCCTCCATTCTCCTTTTTACAAATGTTTGCTGTAAATTTACTTTTCAAGATCATTGTGACAGTTGCAAGCTTAAAGTACTCTAACTGCTACTTTTACCTTTGAAAACTCAATGAAAATTGGTTACTCAAATACATTGTGGAATGTTTAAAGTTATTTTAATGATAGCATTAGTTTTTATAACTGGATACTTAGGTAAATTAACATGGAATCTGGGTGATGAGTGTATTTTATGATATCCTGGTTAGAAGCTAATGTTTTAATCTGAGAAATGGTAATAAGTGGCATCAGTTTCTTTTTTCTTTCCTTTCTTTCTTCTTCTTTTTTTTAATTTTGCAAAGAGGTGGAAAAAGACTTCTTGGTGAAGGTGTAGAAACTTGACTAGTGTCCATTTCGAATCTGGGCCTCGGAGTGACTAGGAGTGGGGCTTAGTGCAGACAGTCTTCTACTGTTGTAATAGGTCAGTGTCTTAGGGTTTTTTTTTATTGTTGTAAAGAGATACCATGACCATAACAACTCCTAAAATAAAGACATATAATTGAGGTGGCTTGCTTACAGTTTCAGAGGTTCAGTTCATTATCAGGATGGAGGACATGGTGGCATGCAGGCAGATAGATGTGATGCTGGAGCTGAGAGTTCTACATCCTGACTCAGAGGCAATAGGAAGTTGACTGATTGTCACACTGAGTGAAGCATGAGGAAAAGACCTCAAAGCCGCCCACATAGTGACACACTTCCTCCAACAAGGCCATATCTTCTAATAGTGCTACTGCCTTTTGGGGCCATGTTCTTTTAAACCATCACTGTCAGTAAGGCTCACCTCAAGCATGGCCTTGAACTGTGTACAGCAGAAGGACAGAGAAATCTTAAAGGCTAATATCTTCTTAGGATCTTACATGTGTACTTGTGCTCTACACAGAATGTGAAAGGGGTAAACATCTAGTCTGCCAGACCACAGAAGTGTATAGATGGTGAACTGCAGTGACCTGCTGACCAAGGGTTAAGAGGACCAGAGCTTTGCTGGTCATCTTCCTTATGCCTTGTAGTTTTGTTTAACTCTTTATCAAGTTGCTAAGGCATCTAGAGGTTTGACCAGTGCATCTCTAGAGCATCTTTGTTTCTGGGAAGCAGTAGCATTGTATTGTATCAGTTGAGCACTGTAGAAGGGTATGCTTTCCATCCTTGTAATGGCAACAAGCCTTCCTAGACCATAGGAAAAAAAATCCCTCTCATCCTGGTAGTTATTAGAGTACTTTGTGACAGTCTAACCCTAAAATTGAGAGAGAAAGAGAGAGAGAAATACATGGTGAGAAATGTATGTGTGTATGTATGTATATATATATATATATATATATATATATATATCAGGCATGATGAATTTGTATGAAGAATCTGTGAATATAAATTACCTTTTTCATAGTTATAAAATAATACATAAGACCTTATTTTTAATCTTTTTAATTTTTTTTTGTTTTTTTTCGGTTTTTTTTTTTTTTGAGACAGGGCATCTCTGTGTAACAGCTCTAGCTGTCCTGAAACTAGCTCTCTCGACCAGGCTGGCCTCAAACTCACAGAGATCCATCTGCCTCTGCCTTATAAGTGTTGGGATTAAAGGCATGTGCCAACACTGCCCAGCCTTATTTTTATTCTTAATTATTTATATATGTGTGTGTGTTGAGAATGTGGGTTTGTGCACATGAGTACAGTACTCCTGGAAGCCAGAAAAGGGTGTCAGAGTCTCTAGAGCTGGGCAACTGCTGAACATAGATGCTGGAAATCAAACTCAAGTCCTCTGCAAGAGCAGTATGTGTTCTTAACCTCTGGGCCATTTTCCCAAACCCATGGCTCTTTATTTTTAATTCTAACATGAAATATATGTATGAATTCTGCTTACTGGTATACTTGTATTTGTACCACTTCCCCTGCCACTGCCACTGAGGGCTGCAAAGATCCAGGGAAGGAACAGCTGCATAGAAGACATTGGTCTTTCTAACATTAACAGAAATTATGAGCATTCGTAGAACTGTTTCAGACAACCTAAGAGGTAGGGATACTTGTGTCTGTGATGTGTGTATATATGACTTAGATGTTAACAAAGTGTCACCATTTATAGATAACTGTTAGCAAGATGTCACCATCCATAGACTGTAAGGTATCACTATTCATAGATAATGGTTAATAAGATATTAGCATTCAGAGATACCTGTGAACAAGGTGTCACCATTCATAGATAGATGTTAACAAGATGTCACTGTTTCTTGGTGGATGTAAACAAGAATGTCACCTAGGAGCTGGGCAGTGTTGGCACTTGGGAGGCAGAGGTAGTCAGATCTCTGAATTGGAGCCCAGTATGGTCTATATAGCAAGTTCTAGGCCAGTTACACAGTTGAGACCCTGTCTCAAAACACAAACAAACAAAACAGATGTTAATGTTAGTAATTCACAGTAGATGTGTGATGATGACTAATTTCAGTTGCCAGTTTGATGAGCTCTGGAATCACCTGGCAGACTGGCGATGGCAGGCCTGTAGAGATTATCTTGGCTAAGGGTCAGGTAGGAAGACCCTGTCACTGGGAATGGTACCATTCTGTGGGCAGGAATCCCGGACTCTATAGGAGAGAAGGTAAGCTGAGCACCAGTGTTCATAGTGTCCCACCTCCAGACTGGATGCTGTGTGACCAGCCACTTTCAGCATCTGCCATCTTTCATTCCCTGACATAATAGATTGTACCTTGAACTGTGAACCAAATAAACTTTCCCGATTCTGTTGCTTTTATCAAGGTATTTAATCATAGCGACAAGAAAAGTAACCCAGATGTTAGCAAGAGTGGAATCTGGGGATGGTAGTGCACACCTTTAATCCTAGCATTCAGGAGGCACAGCCAAAGATCTATGAGTTTGAGGCCAGCATGGTCTACATGGTGAGTTCTAGGCCAGCGAGGGCTATAAGCGACCCTGTCTCAAAGGAGAGAGAGACAGACAGACATAGAGAGAGAGAGAGAGAGAGAGAGAGAGAGAGAGAGAGAGAGAGAGAATGGGGTGGTGGGAGAGTAGAGAATGCAGCTCTAGTAAATGGGAATGTGAAATGATCACACATCTGTCTTTATTCCATGATCTTTTATCCTAGAACCCTGGTGTTATTAGCTTCCTGTTATTTGTAATTTTTTAAAATCACACATATTTGCCAGGCAGTGGTGGAACACACCTTTAATCCCAGCACTCGGGAGACAGAGACAGAAGAATCTCTGTGAGTTTGAGACCAGCATGGTCTACAAAGCCAGCTCCAGGACAGGCTCCAAAGCTACAGAGAAACCCTGTCTCTAAAAACTAAATAAATAAATTACACACACACACACACACACACACACACACTTGTTGAGAAGGTGTGTTTGTGCATGTGACGCACATATCAGGAGGCCAGAGAACAATTTTTAGGAGTCTTTACTCTCCTTTCACCATGTGGCCCCAGGGATCAAACTCAGATCTTTAGGCTTGGTGACAAAAGACACTTCCTACGGAGCCAACTCCATAGCCCTAACTTTCCATTCTTAAGGAAGATCTTTGTTGATAAAAACTGTATTTATACCCTTTTAAAAATATTTGGATGTTCAGCCAAAACTTTTCATCAAAATTGATCTGTTTTCCCTAGTGTGGATCTATACTAGTGCTAATCTGTTTATGCTCTGAAATTAGACCCACATTTGAAATAAGGCACAGATACTAATTAACTGTCTTACTTTGAACAAGCTACTTAAAATCTCTACGGCCTATTTTTATTAGTTATATGTGTGTGTATATTACCATTTTTGTGGTGGTGAATATCTCAGAATTATCATATGATGAAGGAATTGTTAAAGTACTTACGTTCATTGCCCACCTAGTAAGTCGATATGTGAGTTTTTATGTGCTGTCGGTCAGATTCTCGCACAGTGAGCGACCGTTTTCTTACAGCACGTGAGAAGCAAATACACGCTTTTTCTTTTTCCTTTTTTTATTTTTATTGAGCTATACATTTTTCTCCCCTCTCTTCCTTTCCTCTCCCCTTCTACTCTCTCCTATGAGCCCCAAACTCCCAGTTTACTCAGGAGATCTTGTCTTTTTCACCTTCCTATGTAGTAGATCCATGTATGTTCTCTATTTAGGGTTCTCTTTGTTGTCTAGTTTCTCTGGGGCTGTGTCCTGTAGGCTGGTTTTTCTTTGCTTTACGTCTAAAAGCCACTTATGAGCGAGTGCATGCTATATTTGTCTTTCTGGGTCTGGGTTACCTCACTCAATATCCATCCATTAGTGCACACTTTTTCTAACCCTTCTTTGAAGCTGTGTATTTCTCCTGGGACCAGCATGTTCTGCTTGGAAAACTCACCTAGCTTCCTCCTGGTGATGAGCAGCTGTCGGGGCAGGAGTTCTGCTCACACCCATTTTATTTGCCCTATTGTCTGTCTGTAAAACTTTCCATGAGGAACTTTAGCTCAGCTTTACCCACCAAGAACAGCAGTGGCTGTTTGCAACAAACCAGCCTGAGTCAACAAAAGGCATGTTCAGGAACAAAAAGCTGCCCTGCCCTTTGCAAAGCAATTGCCTCTACTCTCCTGGGAATCGTCATTTTAAAATAGTTATTTGGCTAAAACACATGACGGAAACATTTGTGACTTTTCCAGATTAAAAATTGTGTGGGTGAGGAGATTTTTCTCTCTATAGCCACTGAATCTAAAACTAAAATTGCAGTAGTAAGATTGTATTTATATTTTCTGGTCTTCATAGTACACTCAATACCAAGTACCACACCACACAGAGTATGTCACTGCAAACCTTCCAAGAGGAGAAGGTAGAAAGAGAACTGAGGAAAGGGAGAAGTAGGAGTGAGTTTTTGAGAGAGGGAGAAGAAAAGAGAGATAAAAGCTTTCTACCACTTTACTTGGAGAATGTCAGAAACCTGGAGAGTCTAGGGAGGGCACCCACACATTCTCCAGAACAAGAACATGGTAAAGA